TGCCGAGTGGGAACAGCCCTGCCTACATGCTCAGCACCAGGCCTGCAGGGCCAGATGCCATCTCCTAGGTGCCACGGGGGAATGGAGCCTGACCATGGGTTTCTATGTTGTCTCCTCTCACCCTATGATGGCACAGGTGACTGGTATGAAGGGGGGGGGGGGGGGGCATGTCCCCCCCCCCCCCCGAGATTGGCCCCTGAAGGTGGGGCAGTTTTTTGCCATGCGGGACACTAAGCCACAGCACAGAAGTATAGGAGTGGATATGGGGCTTTTGGTCCACCCCCGGGCCTGCCCACTAATTGTGCTCCCCCCCCCAGGCACTTGGGAGCCACAGGATGTGTGTGTGTTGGCAGGGGTGGGGTTTTGGCACACACACTAGGAGCCCTGATGGTGGGGCAGGACAGCGCAGAGGCCCACAGCCAGGCTCCATCTCCTGTCCTCCCAGCTGTGGATGCAGCCAGCAGGTGCTAATTCTGGGCGAGGGGGCCAGGGTTAGGGGGGCTGGGGCTAGGGCTGCAGAGCACACATACGTGTGCAGCCCTCATCAGCTCACCAAATCTTGTTGAGTGATCCTTCAGCCCAAATAAATTGCCCATGCTTCTTCTAGGCCCTCTCTAAATATATCTGCACAGAGAAAAGGTTATGGATTTAGCAGGATTCTTGGATCAATTCACAGGAAGTCCTGAAGAGCAAGGACTCAGAAATGGCACTGCAGCACTGGGTCTTGCCCACATATAGGAAATGGTGATAGGTTTAGTGTCCTCAATTCTGCCCCTAGTTTCCCCATCATAGATTAGCCCACAATACCCACAATATGCCACCTACTCCCCTTCCCTCATAAGGAAGGAGTGGATAGGCTCTTGCCTTGCACAAGGGTATCCTAGGTGTAAATCAGGAGCTTCTCTGCAGTCCTCCTGCTCAGGAGCTCTTTGTTTCACAGTCTCCAGGGCCAGACTGTTTACCTCAACTCAGGCCCTGAGTTTATATACTCTTTAAGCTCTGCCCCTTTTCAATCAGGTGTTTCCCCTGGATTCCTGCCTCAGCCTTATCTTACAGCCTTTCTTTTCTTAACGTATCAGGAGCATTACATTCCCTATTGCAGTAGCACTACAAAATGTAGCTCTATTCAAATTGCTGTTTCCTTCAGCAACATTTCTGTCAGCAATTCTGCCATTTTTGTAGCACTGTCAGGGGTATGCAAGACTGTTGTAGTGCTACAAAGCAGTCCAGGATCATTCTCAGGCAGCTCAGACTTGTCCTCTGAACCATGGTTTCTCTTTCTCTCTCCAGGTCAGCAACTTCTGACCTTGGCTAGTCCTAAGGTATAAACACAACTCTCTCCCTTACTATAAAAGCATGTCCCTTTCTTTCTGTCTCCTGTCCCAGCACATCCTAGGTAGCTCTACAAGTCCTCATATCACTCACCTAGTTTATCTGGCTTTTAAAGAGCAATATAGAGGATGAAAAAAATCCCCAAAATGCAGAATTCCACCTAGCAGTCTATAGAGGCAATAAACTATTTCTCTTTGCCAACCCATTATCCCAGGGTACTTCTACCACACCATTAAGGTTTAATTAACTGTTTAAGATCTGAGGACATAATATAGCCTTTGGTACCAAAGGTGCATGCCACACCTGATGAAGTTATACAAAGACAGTTAAAACATTGACATCTGTCAACAGCTTAATTTTAGCTAATATTTCTGGAAGATATTGAGCTAACTTAATAGCAGTAATTTTGAATTAACAGTAAACTGTTTTGTTTAATTTCAGAAATACTTTCACATTGGACTTAGGAATGTTGTTCCTAGTTAAACAAAAACAAACAAACAAAAACCTCAAACCCAGAAAGCTCTTATAGTAATTGGAGGAGTTTGGCAATTAGACTGAAAATTCACACTTGTAATATAACTTATAAGTGACACTTAAGTTACTACAAAACTAAGCAGTGAAAAAAATATTTTCTCTATTTTCAGATTGTATATAATCAGTATTTTTCTTCCCTGTGTATAAAGTTAGTTTGTCTGTGTGCTTTTATCTTTCGTACAACAGCAAGGTATTGTCTGTATAATTACTTCTGTTTTCAAAATTTACTAGATTTCAAGTTTAATGTTCCTGCAAGATTTTCTATAAAAGATTATGAAAATGAAATTGATTAGCATAACTATTTTTGTCACACAGTACTCAATTTATAAATACTAGAATGTGTTTTTTGCAATTCCCATAGTAAACTAAACAATAGATGAAATTTCCCTCTACTCACTTGACAGGGTCTATTCCCTGAAAAAAACCATGAAGTGTCCAATAAAATCCTGATCTTACAATGAGTACTATCCTTTCCATAGTGCTCTGAAAATTCATCAATTATTGGTTAAGTCTCATACTTGGATTTCTTCATTTGACAGGAACTAGCTGCTTATGAAAATATGCCAAATGCAGTAACACTAACAGAAACAGGTACAATTTAAAAACCTTAATTTTTCAGAGTTTAAATAAAAACATTAATGCAAACCCATGTATTGTATAAAATAGGTACTTGCTGTAATATTTACAACAGTTTATGGTGAATATTGCTTTTGTAGATAATGTGGTAAAGTGGGGGTGTCAAACATAGGACCTGGAAGGGTGTGGGCAGTGGGGTCCCGCAGGGCTCGGTCCTTGGACTGATACTCTTCAATGTCTTCATCAGCGACTTGGACAAGGGAGTGAAGTGTACTCTGTCCAAGTCTGTGGATGACACAAAACTGTGGGGAGAAGTGGACACACCAGAGGGCAGGGAACAACTACAAGTAGACCTGGACAGGTTGGACACATGGGCAGAAGACAACAGAATGCAATTCAACAAGGAGAAATGCAAAGTGCTGCACCTAGGGAGGAAAAATGTCCAGCATGCCTACTGCCTAGGAAATGACCTGCTTCGTGGCACGGAAGCGGAAAGGGATCTTGGAGTCCTAGTGGACTCCAAGATGAACATGAGTCATCAGTGTGATGAAGTCATCAGTAAAGCTAATGGCACTTTATTGTGCATCAGCAGATGCATGACGAACAGAACCAAGGAGGTGATACTTCCCCTCTATCGGGCGCTGGTCAGACTGCAGTTGGAATACTGCGTGCAATTTTGGGTGCCGCACTTCAAGAGGGATGCGGATAACCTGGAGAGGGTCCAGAGAAGGGCCACTTGTATGGTTAAGGGCTTGCAGGCCAAGCCCTATGAGGAGAGACTAGGGCACCTGGACCTCTTCAGCCTCCGCAAGAAGGTTGAGAGGCAACCTTGTGGCTGCTTGTAAGTTCATCATGGGGGCACAGAAGGGAATTGGTGAGGCTTTACTCACCAAGGCGCCCCTGGGGGTTACAAGAAATAATGGCCATAAGCTAGCAGAGAGCAGATTTAGACTAGACATTAGGAAGAACTTCAGGCGGTCGGACTCGATGATCTATTGAGGTCCCTTCTGACCCTAACATCTATGAATCTATGAATAGTCCACGGGCCACATCTGGCAGCTACCAGCAGGCTAGAGAAGTTGGGGGCATGGCTTAGCACAGAATTTAGAGTGGCAGAAGGATGAGTGAGGGCTGTGCCTAACACAGCCCATTTGCTCTGAGGCCGCTTGGCCTGTTACCATGGTCCATGGCAAGCTTGCCTGATTGAGACTGCTGCCATCCCCGCTGCTGTCCTATACCTTGGGTTGAATCTGCCACAGACATTATTCCAGGCTCAAGGCTGGGTCCACCACTGCTACCCCAGGACTTGGATTAGATCTGACCCACAAGGAGTCCTCCAGTCCAGATCTGGCCTGGGGTGGGTTTGACAGTCCATTGGTAAAATATTTGACATTCCATTGGATAATTTTGAAAAACTCACATTTATATTATTTATTAGCATATCACAGACACCCTTTCCCACAAAAATCAACCCTCCAAAATTGGGCTGCGTATCTTCAGTGGGAAAGCTGATTTTTGTTCACTGGAATACATATACAAGTTTATGAGGCCAGATGGGATGCACCCAAGGGATACACCTGATGTGCTGCACTGGTACAGGCTGAGGACTGACTGGCTAAGCAGCACATCTGTAGCAAAAAATCTTGGGGTTACAGTGGACAGTAAACTGAGAATGAGCCAACAGTGTGCCCTTGTTGCAAAGAAGGCTAATGGCATACTGGGCTGCATTAGTAGGACTGTTGCCAGCAAATCAAGGGAAGTGATTCTTTCCCTTTTTTTGGCACTGGCGAAGCCACATCTAGAATACTGTGTCCAGTTTTGGCCCCCCTGCTACAGAAAGAATTTGGACAAAACAGAGAAAGTCCAACAGAGTATAACAAAAATGGTTCGGGGGCTGGGGCACATGACTTATGAGGAGAGGCTGAGGGAACTGGACTTATTTAGTCTGGAGAAGAGAAGACTGAAGGGGGATTTAATAGCAGCCTTCAACTACCTGAGGGGTGGTTCCAAAAAGGTTGGAGCTAGACTGTTCTGTGGTGGCAGATGACAGAACAAGGAGCAACAGTCTCAAGTTGCAGCAAGGGAAGTTTAGGTTAGATATTAGGAAGAACTTTCTTACTAGGAGGTAGTAAAGCACTGGAACACGTTACCCAGAAAGGTAAGATCCAGTTACACAAAGCCTTGGCTGGGATGATCTAGTTGGGAACAGGCCTGCTTTGAGCAAAGGGTTGGACTAGATGACCTCCTGAGGTCCATTCCAACCCTAATTTTCTGTGATTTTATGAACTGAAGCAGGGAGGAGTACAAGCATGGATACGTTGTGCTCCCAATGGCTATCAGGATGTCTGCTGCTTCTCTGTGGCCAAGGAGGTAGAAGGGCCAGATACCAGTGTTAACCCTCTTTTAGCTGCTTAGGAATTTGCTGTAGCTATTGGCTGAGCATTGTAGCTTGTGCCTAAAACCAGTGGTGACGCGTAGGGGGTGCACGTACACCACCTGAGAGCACCAGTGCACCCACTGGCAAGCCACGCTTGCCACTTAGGCCTTGGGCAGGGGGAGCAGGTGAAAGCGCTGGTGCCCCCCTGTGAGCACTGGCCGGGAGGTGGGAGCGTGCCCCCCTGACTACAGTGGCACCAGTCGCCCACAAGCTAAAACAGTAATTGAGTTGGCTCAGGCAAGTGAGTGGCTACATGCAGTCTGTAGTATCTTAATGAGGCTTATGGTGTGGAAACAACACTTCATTATTTACAAGAATTTATATAAAGAATAGTTATAGTAAATATTGCCACTGCTCTTGCATGAATCTGGGACTTAGCCTTCTTGCAGGAAGTTCCTGCTGTCTTGCCTAGACTGTTTCCTGGAATGCCACACCTCCTGGATACTCCACATTTTCAGTAAGACTTACTCCATGTCACACAGTTGGCCATGACTGGAAAAAATCTTTTCTCCTACATTCCTCCTTTCAACAACAGAGTGCATGTTTTATTTCAGGGCATATGGTACACAAGAATATATGGATATTCCAAGCTCTGTCATTTATGTTTTGTTAACTTGTAGTTTCACTAGTTTTAAAGTCATATGATCTGTTTCTTTCTTCCTCTGAGAACAGAGAAAAATATTGTAACAGCTTAGGGAAAAGACACGTGATCCCTATTTAAAGGTGATGTGCAAGAGAAAAGTATTGCTATTCTTTTCACATACTTTTGTTCTTGTAATTGGCAGAATTTTTCTTATTTGGTTCCATGCTGTACCCGTGTACCTGTTGAATGCTACCTTTAAAATATATATAATGAAGACAAATGGCATGTCTTCCTCTAATTCAACATAGTTTTTTCTGACCTTAATGCAAGGAGAAACCCATTTCCTTTCCCTTCTTTACTCCAGGCTACCACTTTTTGAACAAGACATGTACTCCTATGAGAAAGAGAGATGGTGGTGTTTCTAAAAAGTTATAGTCTAGGTAATCTCCTCCAATATATGGCAACACAAATGATCTCATGTACTAATTTTTGTGCTGGAAGATAGCCATGAGCTCAACAGCTTTCATTTTAATTTTAGATTTGCTTGAAGATGGCTTCAGAGAACATCCTTTGTATTACTGTCTAATAGCAGAGGTGCCAAAGGAGGGGCAAGCAGGAAGTAAGCTAGACATTCATGTAATGAGTATCTTCAATAATTGTAGAAACAATGACATATATGCTAACATTGCAGTCTAACTCAGAAAATATCACTCCTCTTTTTTAATAGCTTGTAGCGCTAAAAAAAATGTAAAAAGTGCTACAGGTGGTCATATGTGCCTGCTCCCTTGGCTGGAGAACACCACAATTGCAAACAAAGGCACACTTTCCATCCAGGGGACAATAGGGGGCTGATCCTTAGCATCCCTCCCCCTACTTTCAAGGGAGTCTGTCAGTCAGCAGGCAGGTTTCCCATCTGCTGTTGCTGTGCAAACATTTAAAGGGTAGTGGTGTTCTTCAGACTCCAGCTGACTGCCAGCCAGCCATGTAAAGAGTGGAGAAGCAGACCAAGCCAGTCCTTCTCCCTCCTTCCTTTCCTCATGGAAGTGGGGAGAGTGAGGACTACTGAATACTGATGGACAGGAATACCTGTCTGCATTTTAAATTTGTTGCAGAAAGCCTCCCCAAAACAAAAGTTTCTGTTTTAAACAGTAATTTTTTCACCTGTACATCTACAATTTTTGGTCTGGATTGGCCATATTTTTTAATGAATGTGGGGCGCACAGACTTTTTGTGCTGCTAAAACAGATGATAAAAGTGTGACAAAAATATTTGAAAGAGCCCCTAAGTCTGTCATTTTGACCATTTCCCTTTCTCTTCATATCCCTCTAACGGCTTCCTCTTCTGTGTCACAAACTTATTGTCTTCATTTTCAAGAACCTTTATTTCCCTATGCTATCATCTCTCATTGAAAATGTTGATTCCTTATATCTTCTTTTTCTACCAAGTCACATACAAGCTACTTGTCCTTACTTCTAAATTGCATCATGCCCCAACTCCATCCTATTTATCCTGTCTCATTCAGTATCAAAAAGTTGATTCCTGCCTCCAGTCAGTCCATATTAGCACCCCCCCTCCCCACCCTCTCCAATTTCCCCCCCCCCCCCCTCCAGTACCTTTTCAAATAAACACCTTCAGGCCGTCTTCTATGGTGCCATTCACCTATCTCATTGTCTTCCTTTACAACTTTTCTTAAAACTCTCCTTTGCTGTACTGCCGACGCAACACTCGATAATGATAAGGTTGCTAGCATGCTGAGACAACTGCCCATCCATACTTTCTCCTTCAGCTCTACATGACAGATAAAACTCTATCAGACAAGATAAAACAAATTGATACGTAGGACATGCATACACAAAAACTTTCTGTGCCAGGCTGTAGCAAACACACATGCCGTACTGCTCTGCATGCACTGCTTCCTGAGCTGGAAGCAGTGTAGCCACACTTAACTAGCCCCACTGCTGTGCTACATAACACTACTGAGGCGCGAGGTATAAACAGGCCCGTAGCTTGTTAAGCTGTTGGGGGCAGGGATCGTGCATTTATATAGCAGCTAGCACAATGCAGTCCTGGTCCACAACTAGAGCTCACAGGTACCATGCAATACAAATAATAAAAGTACCTTTGCAAAATGGTTGTCTCTACATTGTAACTTTGCACTTATAGATTCATAGATTCTAAGGTGGGAAGGGACCTCAGTGGGCCATGTAGTCCGACCCCTGCCCCTGGCAGGCAAGAAAAGGGTCACCAAACCTGGGGTCATGTGAATCCAGCCAGGTGCCTGTCCAGTCTCCTCTTGAAGACCCCCAAGGATGGGGTGAGCACCACCTCCCTTGGAAGCCCATTCCAGATCCTGGCAACCCTGACCGTGAATAACCTTTTTTTAAATGTTCAGTCTTAACCTTCTCTTCAGTAGCTTATGGCCATTGCATCTTAGGCTCTCCTGAATTGCAGAAAGTTTAGACTCTCCAGATGTTACAAGTTCTTTCTTTGTCAAAATATATCAGTAATTTTGAAAAATACCTGCAATTCAGAAGGAATACATTTGATGCTATCTTTTTATGTAGTACTTATTACTGCAAAATCTATGTTTGTTGCATTTTATAATTCAGTAGACTCCAATCTTCAATGAGAGCAACCTGAGTTTATCAGGGCTGTCCAATTTCTGGGAGAGGGATTGCATATGTACAACTCCCTTTTGAATGTGCATGCACATTGTGGGCAACCTGGCTCTCTCTGACACAGAGCAGCATCGTCCCACTGCCCCACCCCCAGGAGTGCAGGAACTAGAAGCCAGAGGAGGGACAGGGAAACTTGGGACCCCAGCTGCGGCAGCAACAGGTGTCATGTGGGGGGCAGTGCAGAGGCCACATGTTAACTCCTTGTAGGCTGCTGATTGGACAGCCCTAATTTAGAAAGCTAAAGGGAATCTATTAGAAGAGCCATAAATGATATTAGCTTTTACATAAATGAACTAGTTATCCCACACTTCATTTTTTTTCCTTTCCGCCTCCCCTGCAGGTAGTTACGCTGTAGGCTATGCTATGTATTATTTTACATATGACCCTTGGATTGGCAAGTTACTTTACCTGGAAGACTTCTATATTATGGAGACATATAGAGGTAAAAATCAAAATAATTGTAATTTTCCTCTTAATATTAAATAATTAACCAATTAAATTTTTTACTATTTAGCAACTTTCAGCTCTCTCTCTCTAATACTTTGAGCTACACAATTCTGGAAAAAAAATCCTGAAAGTTTAGTATGGAAAGAAGAGATGAATCTCTTTCCAAACATTAATAATAGTCTCTTTCAAAACAGAATATACTTGACTACAAATTACTAACACAGGCTGCCCATTATTTTCAAAGCTTTTCTCAGAATGTAAGTCACAGGAGGTTTGTTAGTTTATATGTGAACTTAAAATTATTTTTCAATCAAGTCAATGTGATTTAACTTCTGATAAAAAATGTTAAAAAGTTAGCTTTTAAATTTAATTAATTAAAAGATCCAGAACTTGACCTGTAATAGGACATGATAGATATCATATGAAGTTTTTATTTTTTTCTTACTTACTCCTTAATTTTAAAGTGCGTTAGGACAACACAATATCATATTCCAATATTTGTAGAAAAAACTTAAACCAAAATCCAGAATTGCAGATAATGGAAATAATTGATCTTAAATAAAAATATACTCTATGTAGTGTTTTAAAGAGATCATTATATCATTCTAACTTAACATCACTTTCTTATACAAGCTTAACTGCACACACAGAATAGTTCAAAACAACTCACATAAACATTAAAGTATATTCTCTCTAAAATAGACTTCAGTGAAGTGCTATATTAACTTTACTAATATAGAACAAAGTTATGTAATAGAATATTTTTCTTGATTTTTCTAATAGAAATTAAAGTTAAATTACTATGAGACTTCTATTAAATACGTTCAATTTATTTAAAATGTTCCACTACACATTCTTAAAATTACATCCTGCAGTGCAACTTTTGCTATACTGATACTTTAATTCTTGCATTATTTAACAGGTTTGGGCATCGGATCTGAAATCTTAAAGAGATTAAGCCAGGCATGTATTATTTAAGACAAAGACTTACAAATTCCACACAATTTAAACAGTCATTTTCCTCATTTTATTATGGCAGAATGTAAGATTTTTATCTGTGCATTCATTTTACAGAATCCACATTAAGGACTAACATGACAAACATGGAGAACGTAGATTTTATAAAGTTGTGTTTTTCCTAGGGTCCCAGGGCCAGAGCTGCCACTGCTACCATCTGGCTGGGTGGGGGCCAGAGCTGGAGCAGCAACTGAGGGCAAGTGGCAGTGTGCGGCAGGTGCTAGGGGCACAAGCATTTAATGGTGGGGAGGGACACAGACAGCAGGGTAATGGTAGAAGGGACAAATTTAAGATGACAGTAATTAAATTCTATACATAGAAAATAACAACACATTTATACATTTTCCACATATAGAATCTAATGGGGGGAGGGGGTGGAAATCATCTTAAATGTTGAAGTCACCTTGGATTTAGGTAAATATAATAATATGTTGGCCAGGACACATGCTTGATCTAAACTCCTATATAAAACAGCAGAGCAACTCTCAGCCATTATGCGATAATAGCAGCTGTGAATCAGCACCAGAGTTTGTACTGAAGATGCCACTCCTCATGAAGGAGTATCTAGTTCTTCCAAACCTGTTTACTTGTTTCACACAATTCTCCAGACTTGGACCCAAAGACTAGGTTTTCATACTGCCCTTTTCTTCTCAGTAACTAAGAGTTGTTTCATCCAGCACCCTATTGACTCATTGGTCCCATGAATACAATGATGGCAGTAAAAGATAAGGTGTCATATCAAGGACAATTAAGTCTCAAACTGTTGCTGTTTTCTTGAGTGTTTACTGATCTATGTGAGAAGACGGACTCATCTGTTAGAAAAAATGAACTGCTTCAGCATCTACTGTGTACACAATTGTTTCTCACATGGTACCAATGACTCTTCCTACACAGACCATTTTCTCTATATGCAGAATAGTATCCCAACTAATATGAAAAATGAGTTCCAAAACAGTGTCTTACAAGTAATACAGAATATTTACTTTTAACAGATAGCAATTGAGACCAACTGTAGCCGCATGCATTTCCTTGTAGTCATCTGGAACAAGCTGTCTATCGAGTACTATGTGAGACGTGGAGCTTCAGATCTTTCTACTGAAGAGGGCTGGCATCTTTTCAAATTTGACAAAGAGACTCTTCTCAGAATGGCAACTGAATAACAATGAAGACTCACACTCACCATTCCAAAATGTGTGCAAAATCAGATTAATTTGATCTGACCAACTTTCCTTTTAGCAAAATACAACATCTTCCATTTATACCCAGTAATTCTAACTTGTCTTGTGCATTTAAAAAGGATTAATCAAGTTTAAGTATCTTCTCTACATCATAAGCAGCATTCCTTGCCATTATTGTTAGGTACCACTAAAAGTTTCTGTCATGATTTCTCCTAGAAAAATAGACACTATTGAGACTGGCTCACCTTTTATTTTGTTCCACCTCTCTATCTGCACCAAACAGATACATTACAAAAGTGTTACTGTACTGTGTGGACTATCCTGCATGCCTATTTATATTTAGAGTAAACATGCATATTACCAAAATAGCTCTTACTTTACCTATCATTTTTCATGCTGTGATAATATTAGATTGCTCCTTCAACCACCTCTCTCAACCCAAATTTCTGAAGCCTATCTATGGCAGCCTGCAGATTCTCTGTTGCCCCTTTCTGACTGAGCTGTAGTCTTTTATCACTGCTGTTTCAAACTGGCAGCTTGGCCACAACGGGCAACTTAATTAGGCCCCTCATTCAGTTGTTGCTGGGTAGGGTATATATACCTCATTACAGACGTCCACCCACCCAGAAATATCTTCTGGGAAAACAACATCATGACATCCCATCCCCGGAAAAAAGTAAAAAATTCTTGTGGAAGTTCCTTATTCAGTGATCTACTAACAAGGTATAGGCTGACATACAACCTCATGAGCCATACATTGATTTTTTCTCTCTCGTCATTTCATGAGATATCTTAGAGGATTCTGAAGCAATTACCTAGAGGATAGTCCAATGAATCTCTTGGATACTATTTGACTACTAGAAATCCTTTTTGTATTATAAACACATCACTTTTCTCTTGGGAACAATGTGCTTAAGAAACAGCAAAGTTAAATATTATGTTGGGGTACACTCTCTCCTTTGTGCCGTTCCCTGCCTTGGGCAGTAGCAGACTACTTTTTCAGTGTGTGGAGGTCAGGTTGGGTGTTGACTAGAAAAACCTTCCTCAGTTCAGAAGTTGAAGGGTAATAAATGTGGGGAGGTACTCGATGGATTCCAGGGAGATCTGCAACATTTCTTGGGAAACAACGTGGGTCAACCTCTGTTTTGTCCCTCTTGTTTCCCCATCAGCTTCCTCCGTATCTCTTGCAAAGGATCTCCCTTCTCAATGGTGCTGGGTAACCCCATGGTTGAATCCATTTTCTGATAAGCTGACTGTTATTCCATTATCTTTGTATCTACTCACTCACCTGGGGGAATAGATGCAAAATTACCCATGCTCTTACTTAAGAAGTTGACCAGGACTCAGGATTCACCCACTCTGCCCAACATCTTTTTAAGGCAGGTTTATACTGGAAACTTACCATGTCAGGGCAGCAGCACCACCCTCAAACATGCTCTGTTCCACATGGGCTGCCTCCTATAACTAGAAGCAGTACAGATACTTGTGTATTAGTATTTCAGCTGCACTAATTATTCCAACACAGTTGGCAAGTGCTACCATAACACTGCAGAGCTGGAAACAAGGTGAGAAAAACAAAAGATGAAAGAAGATTTTTTGCCATCTTTAAACAACTGGCTGGAGGGAAAATGGAAATATATTTACATTTTGAAATATTCCCTGAAAGGGTGATTTATGCTTATTAAGAACTTGGCACTAACAGTCCTGATACACTCTACTGCAAACATATATTGAGAAAAAGCTAATTTTCTGTGTCAAGAAGCTAATTATAATTCAAAATAATTAACATAATACTGAATTCTTTGTTAACTTCTTATAGGTGGTAAGAAACAAAACATGCCACAGACAAGGACAAAACTGTACACATTGAGATTTTAGAAAATACCCGATTAAATTATACTACACACAGCATCAATCATACAATCATTAATCCTTCCATTTTAATTTGACATCTTTAGGAGTTTCCATAGACCTGCAAATAGCCACCTTAGCTTCTAGTACTATACATATCCACATCTTCTGGGTTGGACTGCCCATGATCCATAAGCCTTGGGTCAGGTTTAAATGTTGTTGTCTTCACTACATCTGTTAAAAGATATTAAAATAGAAAGCTGTGATGATTTTATACATATGGCTAGTGTTCTACAAATTTAACTTCTTCAGAGTTACATTGGTAGGAATAGAACAAGCAAGTTTTTCAAGTGCTTAGAATCAGTTAAGAATGAGTACTTTATTTAGCCTAACTTATTTAGAATGATGTAAATCAGCTGGATCCATTAGGCACATGAAACTACTTGTAAGGGAAGATAAGGAACAAATAGGAAAATATAAGTTTTACACATATAGATACGTAACATGAAAGGAAAGATGTATAGACTGAAAACAATTTAAAAGAATTGTAAAAAGTGATCAAAAGGCTCCACAAAAAAATTAAAAAATAAAGTAAAAAGAGGAAGAGGTGGGATGTGTATAAGGAGAAAAATTAAAACTAAAAATATCAAGGGAAAGAAACACACAAAAACCCAAATAACCCCTTTATTTTACAAAAAGGAAGAGGTAAAGGCTAGAATAAAGGATAAGAGGATACACAATGAAATATCTTAGCTAAAAATAATGTTAACTGACTCCCCATTTATTTGATCTTGCTATAACACAGGGTTCGGCAGTGTTTTTGGGCAGAGTGCTGAAAAACCCTGCAACTTTGACTTGTAAGACGTTGGTGTGCCAGGGGCAGGGGGCGCCACAAAGGGCCTGATCCGTGTTGTGACAGCACAGCCCTGGCCCCTTCCCTGCTGTCCACTTGAGCCTCACATGCCAAGCAAAATGTCTTTGTATGCTATGTTCTGGCACCTGTGCCAGGGGTTGCCTACCTCTGCTATAACACTTTCAAACAAAAATTCAAGTTATCAAGTGATAGGGAAAAGCTCAGGTTTATTAGCTAAGGCCATCATTACTTTTCTTGATTACTGTATAAGGATTACTGCCTACAGAAGGATGTGAATTTTGCTGCAACATCATTATATGGAGAAATGAGCATATGCCAAGAATACCACTGTTAGCATGCAACGCAATGAATTTCTTATTGATATTTTAAGATTCATGAACAGCACCCACAGTAAAGTCATAGTGAATATAAAATAAAATGTTTTGCATACTTATTAATGGCTAAGCATAACATAAAATAAAATAAATAAAAGAGAAAATAACATAATAAATCACAATTTACTGAGATTGGTGGTTATTTGAACTTCATACCTGAGACCACATTTGGAATTTTTATTTCTGCTGACACAGATGTTGCATTTTGGGGGCTCTGAGTCTTCATGGCAGCAAATTCTGTTATAGGAGGTAGTTTTACTGTCACCTGAGATTCAGGGGTTGTTTTATGAACCTCTGCACTTTTACTACCTCCTTCTACAAGTGGTTCCAGCACCTGAAGATGCGAACTAAGCTAAATAATGAACATAAAGAACAAAACATACTTATATATTATATTTGTATAACTCTTGTATTTTATGTAGAAGAGCCTTCTTTCATTTATCGTTTAATAAATTATTTCCACGGATGCATTCTTTTTATACAGTGTTTTGAACTGGATACACAGAAATATGCAGAAGAAATTTCTTAAGAGTGTCTTAGTACACTTATTATGAGATATTCCCTAACAATGTGAAGTGTTATCTATTCAGCAATCAGCACCACAACAGGGATTCAAAAAAATCGTTTCTATAAATAGGTCTGAGAGGCAGTTAGCTATGTTGGTTTGAATTTAAGCAGAAGGCAGGGAAGCGTGGCACCTTATAGACTAATTTGTTCAGAAAGGCATAAGCTACTTGACCTGTGAAAGCTCACACCTCTCTAAATAAGTTAGTTGATAAGACACGACAGTGCCCTACCTTCCAAAATAGTTAAGAACTTCAAATTCATATGTGAAAACATAAGCTTATTTGGTAGTTAGTGAATAATAATGGATTTGCAGACGTTACAAAATAAACAAACAACAAATAAACAAATTGTGCTTCACCAGAAGAGGCATGCACACAACTTCAACCCAGCTCCGCACTGTCTATATAGATTAGGCAATTCAGTGGGGCTTTTTGGCACTTCTATCTAAAGCTGAGTCAATTATCTATGAGAAAAAAGCACCAAAAAATGCCCCACTAAAACGTCTGATTTATACAGATGCTGGGAGAGCCCGGTCCAATTAACATGCTGTCTCTTCTGGGCATGTGCTGCGCTGAGTTTAAAATAAAGTGCCATTTTGTTTTGTTTGTTTAACGTCTGCAAGCAGCCCATATTTAGCTTTTATCTTCTGTTTTTAACCCAGGACTCTGAAAATGCTTTTAGTAAGAAGGGTACAGGCTGTTATTTCCATTTTACAGATGGAAATTGAGGTGCTGAACAAAGTTAGGGTAATTGGAAGTTTTAATTATTGGAAGAGGCGAAATTTGAATCATTAGTTCCTATCTTACCAGAAGAATATATGCCTACAGATTAATCTTGATTAATGATAAATGGCAGTTTAGTAGAGATGCACTGATATATCAGTTGCTTAGCAGATTGGCACCAATAAAAGGGAAATTTACACTATTGGCTATCAGCTATTTTTGGCCGTTGTAGCTGATAATGTTCTCCAATACTTATGCCTTCTGGCCGGGGCACCCTCTCGTGAACTGGGGTGACTCCAGATATATCTCCATCCTCTCACTGGTGGCCTGGGCTGAACTAGAGTGGTACAGCTGCCCCGGGGTCCTGGGTGTTAGCGCCATGTGGTGAGGACTGTGGGCTGGTGCCTGGGCTAGCTCTGTAAGAGATGCCAAATGATGCAGACATGACGGGTGGGGAGCAAGGGGCGGGCAGAGCTGAATTGAGCTATCCGGCCCGGCTCGGCATGACTCAACCCCCAGTACCCAGCTGTCTATGCCCCAGGGTACAGTGCCACCGATAAAGTGCCACCGTGTCTCCTGTATCAGCATCCTCACACTTAGAAATGGTGCTAAATATACTAAGTATCAGTTATTGGATTGGTATCGGCCGATATGGCTGGTTAATAATTGGCTATTGGTACCCCTACAGTTTAATTTAGTTAGAAAATACTATAATTAAAAAAAAAGTTGATATTGTAATAATTCGCGATGCACACGGGGTGCACATGGGTGCATGTGCATCCCCTGAGCTTGGCAGTGCACCCCCCGCAAAAAATGCTGCTGATGCTGCTGCCGCTCACCACCCCCTCTCCCCACTCCCAATACCGCTAGCAGTGTCTGCGGGCGGTCCCTGATCACCGCTGGCCGCTCATCGTCCCCCCACACCCTCTAACAGCACCACAGCCACCTGTGGGAGCTTGCAGCTTGCCACCTGAGGGAGCTCGCCATGCCCCCCCAGGCTCCGGGGGCACACGGTGTTCATGATTGTAATTCTTGTTACCACATCAGTCATCATTTCCCAAATTGTTTGACAATCCTAAAATCACAGAAAAGTAGGACTGGAAGGGACCTCAGGAAGTCGTCTAGGCCAGTGTATATTCTAATGAAATGCATTCTTCACAGTATGTTCTGTTCATAAGCCTCATTATTAATACAACTGATGAGTAATGAAAAGGAAAATCTGTAATACATTTTGTAGGGCTAGAACAAGAAGCCTTGCTTTTATTACAGCCAGTCAGGAATTTTCCATTTACATTATTTTGACAAAAAAAGCAGGTTATACAAAACTTTTTTTTGTTTGCATCAGAAAATTAAGATTTTGCCAAAGCTTTTTAAAAATAATTTTTTATTGAAATAAATGAAGTATTTTGTTTCAGGTTGGTTCAACCCAAATTGAAATAGTTCAGTTTGTTGAACTGACCTGAAATTTTTCATTCCAAACTAATTCAATGTTAAAAATTATGGTACTTCATAGCATTATGGAAGTTGTATTTTGGGTATCTTAAAATCCATATTCCCTCCTAGGGACTGGGCTACATCTCCTACGCTGGACTATATCTCCTATGATACACCATTCATTTCAGAGGGGCATTCTATCGTGTCAATGTAAATAAAAAGTTGAGAAAAGAAAGAAAATAGATGCAGGAGCCACTCGAGGTAGAAAATGCTGTATTATGGGAAGGGCAGTTTAATCCTGAATTCATTTGAAATCTTACATGCCAACTGACAAATCACACGTATATCAAAATGTTTTAATCCTATGAAAAAAGGCAAAATGAAATGTTTGCCATTTCTTAATTTTTTTGGAGGAGGGAGAGAATATTGTGAGAAAAAATTCCATTATTTTAACTTTTTCTTCTGCTTCATGATGAAAGGAAAATTTAAATATCAAACTTTCTCCTGGAAATTCCCAGTTTTGGTCAGCTCTAATTATTACTGTTATTCAGAAATACAGACACAGTCTCAGAAGATTTTTTAAACTGTATATCAACATTCAACACAACGCTGCTTTCTAAACCTCAGTAAGCCAAATTCACCAAAATGTGGAAATATTTGAACCAATGGAAAAAAAGTTTTTTTATTTGCTGGATGAAAAGTCCTCCCAGCTCCATCTTTTTCAAACTAAGGTATTCTACAACTGGCCTTAATACACTTGTTTTATGGAAGTTGCCAGCAGATAGTAATCTGTGATAAGAGGTACAGGCCACCCTCACCATATGTGGGGGATACGTTCTCGTATCTCTTGCGAATGGTGAAATCCGTGAATAAGGCACCGTGTTCATGAACACAGTCTGCGTTCATGAATGCAGTGCCCCCGGTGGAAGAGGGCGCGGGGGGGGGGGGGGGGGGGGGGGGGGGGGGGGGGCAGGCACAGCTCCAGTGGCAACAGCAGCGGCAAGACCCTGGCGGCAGCAAGCGCAGAGCTCCCGAGGAGCTCCTAGAAGTGTAAAATTCATGTTCGGCGTTTGCGAATATTTGAAACTGAGAATGCCGAACCTGCGAATAACAAGGGT